ATTTTTCACATCTGTGAAGCGTTGTTTACAAATTTGTGCAAATAAAAACGAAATAAAAAAGAAAGCGAGTTTATAAAAACGTGGTAAAAATGAGTACAGCGGAGTTCTGGTTGAACGATTCGTCAGAGGATGAGAGCTTAGAAAACTGGCCAGGAGCAGAAAACGTTTAAGAGAGTTTAAGTGTAGTCTTTCGAATATATTTTGACATACAATAAATCTAAGAAATTTTGTGATCCAAATCTATTTAAAATATATTAAAACTATAAACAGCTCTATGATTTTGTTCTCAGAGATCGTGCCAACAGAGTATTGGGATTTTCTTTCACAAGTAAAACCAGCCGATCGAGCTTGTGTTTAGTATTCACGACGTTAGAACGGCATGAAATTAATAAAAAAAAATGTTCCAAATTAGTGTCTAGCCTATAAAAAGTAAGAAAACAAATGCAAATTCATACATTTTTCACAATTTTCTAACACTTCGCTACACCAACGAAAGCAAAATTCTGTTCGACAGAAAATTCGATACTCAACGAAAATTTCGACTCGCTTGCATAGCTCATAATTAATTCTTTATTCATTCTGAATGTTTGGAATAAATTCTGAAGGTTTGGAATAAACTTTTTTGTTTACTTATTTTTTAGAACATTCCTGATGATATGTTAACGCATCAAACGCATTCTGTTTATTTCGGCTGTGAAATGGGATTATCCGGAATGTATGTATAAAGAAACGCAGCCTTAGGGTTTACACCGGACAAAAATGTCAAAATGATGTGTTTGTTGTAATATGAATTCGCTTTGTTAAAAAAAATAAAATAAAAAATCATTTTGACATTGTTGTCATGACAGTATTGTCCGGTGTAAACCCTAAGTTAGCACCTCATTGGTATAAATATTAAGAATTTTGTATTGCAATCGATTGGTCGTCGATTTTTCTTTACTGTTTGTCCATTTTTAACGTACACGTATACTACAAAATCTGATTTTTTTTTAAGGTGTGCCTGGCGACCTAGGAAATCAGTAGTAGAAGTTTTGTAAATGGGGGTTTATAATCTCAGTAAAAAGCGCCGTTAAACGTATCACGCCCCCTCCACCTGTGCGTCTTTAACCATCGCACATACATATATGTAATATACACATATACAGAAAAGTTTCCGCCACCACAATTTCTAAATGTACCTTTTAACAATTAAACAACAAAGAGCCACACAACTACATACATATCGTCCCCTGGGTAAAAGATTGTCGTAAGCGCAGTTTTGACGATTTTTACTATAGTAGAATAAGAAGAAAAACGGGAAGAAATTAATAGCCATTTGAGGAAAAATATAAAATTTCATGTTTTCTTCTAAACAAAATTTGCTTTTTTATAGTATATTCGTAATGAAATGAAATAAAATAAGATAAAATACCTTTTTGAGAAAACAAAACTCGTATACTGAGAAAAAATAAAAAACATTAAACTATATTATTAGGCAAAGAATTGTTAAAGAAGTAACACTGTTTCACCTAAGGCAGTCAATTTGGCGGAATTAGAGCGAGAAGCTGCCAACCGATAACACCTTGTATTATTGCATCATGTTTGGAAATAAGATCTTTCAATTGACGATGTTATCAGTTTTTAGATATCTCCTTTAGTTTCCGAGATATTGACTAAAATTTTTTCGATAATTTAGTAAAAATTTAGTTAGTGATGCAGTCATATTAAACTAATCAAAATCTTAAAAATGGCATTCTTCCTTTTTGGATATCTCCTTTAGTTTCCGACACATTGAGTAAAAAGTGTTGTTAATTTAGTAGAAATTTTGATTACATTTACAGCCGTATTCTAACAAAGTCACAAACTTCAGCTCATCACTGCTGTGATTTCTACCGCGCCTCAAAGCTTGCCGCTTCAATTCAGTTTTTTTAATTTTTGTGTGTTTTTCTATCACTCAAAATCGAATTTTTTGTGACACATTTCTCGGCGCATTTGAAATCACAACAGTGATGAGCTACGTTTTGTGACACTGTTAGAATAGAGGGGTTAGTCGTATTTCATACAAAGGGGCTGCCAAATTGTGGACAAATGACGCTTACGACAAGAATTTACTAAAGAAAATCCTGCATAAACTCAAAACTAATTAACAATAAACATTAAATAACTTAAGAATTTTGTGAGCTAGTAACATTTTCAGAGACTTTGGAGTAAATCTATTTTCGCGTTTTTGAGAAATTGCATTCCAAACTTCAATGGCGATTTCCCACAACCTCCTCAATTAACATACGACAATCTTTTACCCAGGCGACGATATGTATGTGTACACATATAACTAGTTACAATGCCAGGAACTTACCAAATATCGCAATATTTTGCTGCACCTTACACTAATTTGCTGACACCAATTGTAATTGCAACGATAAGTACGAACGTACTTAAAAATTACACCGGTAGAACAAAAGACGCTGAAGCTGCACTAGTTTTATTTTTTCGGAAAATTCACTCACAAGAACACCACGCCACTCGAAAACTAAAAGAAATGGAAGAAAAATTAGCTTGTTTTGCAGCTACAGCTGATTCAGCTGAGCTGAAATAAAATTAGTGTTGAGCGGCGCCAAAAGAAGATAGCATGACGCTGGTTTCATGATATCAGCGCACGAATACTGGCTGCGTTACCCACCACTACTTGATTGAATAGGCCAAATACACTACACAGTAGGTCTGCGCATAACGACACATTTCACCATATACCAAGGCGAATTTATACAAGGTCAAAATTATGTGTTTATTGTAAGCAAGGCAACAAACACATAATTTTGACATTAAGAAGTACCGCGCCGAAAATCTAAATTCACCATCAACACCACCTTGTTTAAATTCGCCTCGCCATACACCACGATTGAGAGAATACAAAGGTTGCGCCGATCTCGGACCGCTATTCCTCTCTTAACGAATTTGACAGAGTCGTTGTTTGTATGACGTCACACTGGTGCAACTTGTTTACGTTTTCCTTGCAACATTTTGTCTTCTTCTTCCATTCTTGCTCACGTTTTGGCATTTCTCTCTCGCAATTGTACCAGAGTGACGTCACACACAAGTTATTCTCAAAAATCCTCTCCGATCGGCGCAATCTTGTATTCTATCATTCTTGGCCATACACCATACAGATAATAAAAAAAATTTACCGTGTTAAAAAATTTTTCTTGCTCCATTTTGTAAGACGAAATTTTACCGTATACGACACACTCGCTATGCGTATCGGCTACCAAAATCAAAATTTTGCGATTTTACACAGACTGTATGCGAGACGGTTTGTGCAAACTTAACACGGCAAAATACACGCCGAGACAGTCTGCACATCGAAGTGAAAGTGAAAGTGCGCTGACTGTGTGGTGTATTTTTCCTATTACGTCCATACGAGTTTATGATAGTTCGTAACAATTATTACAAATGATCATTTTTTCGTACGACAAAACTTACAAAAATTTGAAAACTATGGTAAATATAGGGAGCAAAATTTTTAGGGGAGGTTGTTTTCTATGAGCAATTACGACGTCAAAAATGTACTAAATAACCAGTTTACACTTTTAAAACACTATTAAAACGTCTCCGGTTATTATTTTATGCAAACCAAATCATTTATTCACTTTTATTTTATATATTTCGTTAATAAAACAGAGTAAACAAACTTTGCGCCTACCAAAATTATTATAACTTCAAATCGCTGGTATTGCCACTTTATTTCACATTTCATTATACTCAGTTTACATTATACACTTCTTCTTCTTTTTTTACTTTCACCTAAATAAGATATTCTAACCAAAATATAATAGCAAATTTCGCTATACCAATCGCGCGATTTTTTATTAAAAATTTTCGCCTGCGGCGCTCTTTCCATAAAAATCAATACTTCGATAAATAATGAAAATTTTTAATAAAACATCGCACTCTTGGCACTCCATGACGCTTACTTTTAATTACAGCTAAAATAACTGTAAGGCATAAAAGTAGCGCTGCCATGGTATAGCGAAATTTGCTATTATATTTTGGGTAGAATATCTTATTCATGCTTGAAATACAATACCGGCGAACGGCAAACTTCGCCGAATTGGGCGATGCTGTCGTTCACCGTTCGCCCAGCTATTTCGCCTACTTAAACAGAATTAGAGCGGTAGCGAAAACAGCTGATCCCATTTGGTCGCCTTTATAATTTGGGTGACCATATTTAGAAAAAACTAAACCATATTTAGAAATGAGGAAATGATAACAAATATAAATGTAAAACAAAGAAAGATTATTATAAATAATTTGTTTCAAGCCAGATTTAACGAATCCACAACTATATTTTTCAAACAACAAAAAAAAAAAATCGTGTTTAGGTTGTTTTCTTTTAAAACTTTGAAAGCAAAAAACAAATACGGCCACCTTTGGCACGCACAGCTGTCATCGCCCAGCAGGGCGATAGAAATAAATCTATCGCCATGAAACGCCGCCAAGCGAACTTCGCATTTCGCTTTGGCTGTGTTCAATTTCATATGCTTGCGGGTGTTCTAATTTTGACAGCGCGAATTTCGCTGTGGTGAGTTCGCCGTTCGCCGGCATTGTATTTCAGCTATTAGGTGAAAGTAAAAATAGAAGAAGAAGAAGAAGTGTACAGTGTAAACTGAGTATAATAGCGCAAATGAAATGTGAAATAAAGTGGCAATACCAGCGATTTGAGGTTATAATAATTTTGGCAGGCGCAAAGTTTGTTTACTCTGTTTTATTAACGAAATATATAAAATAAAAGTGCATAAATGATTTGGTTTGCATAAAATAATAACCGGAGACGTTTTAATAGTGTTTTAAAAGTGTAAACTGGTTACTTAGTACATTTTTGACGTCGTAATTGCTCATAGAAAACAACGAAATTTAAGAAAAGTTAGGAGGGGGGCAGAAACTCGTCGTTTGGTACCCCTCCCGACTTTCCGGACCTTATTTAGGGGCTGTGACCCTACACTAGAAAATTACCAAAAATAAAATTAAACTGTTGGGTAGCGGTAAACTATTATTAAAAAATTCCTTTGTACTTAGGTATATAATTTACGTACAAAATACTTATTTCATACGTATGTATACACATACATATAAATCCATTTTATTTTATTCTAATTAACATTATTAACAGCAAACAGTTCATCACTCGTTCGTTGGCTCAAAATTTAGGCAAACTTGCGCCAGTTGTGTTTTCAATCTTTGTTTAAGCAAAAGGGATAAAGTACAATTAATTTATATATGTAATGTGTTTAGTTATAACTTGTATGAAATACATATGTACCTCTGTGCATCGTTGTACTCATATCTATCAAGCTCGCATAATACGAATTCCGAAAATACTTCTTTCCATCTTCTATTTGTATGCAATTCCTGCGGTCTGTTAGTAAACGACTTCACAGGCGGCACAGATGATAAAGGGTCCGACGTAAAATTTTCTAAATCACAAGCCTCATTTTCGGGCAAAAGCTGTGAACTTTGTTTCAAAACAATTTCATTATTGAGAGTTTGTTCATTATCAATCGCGCAATTATCGCCACCACGCATCATCAAAGCAGCATAATTATTGCCCATTATATAAGAATCATCCGAGCTTATATTGTACTCCAAATCACTATCATCTTGTAGTGGATTCGCCAGAGAAGTATTACTTTTTGTTTCGGAGTGCTAGTGGAAAGAGGTATGAAATTAACGATAATAGGTGCAAGATATAATATTTAAAATGAAGTCTAATCAATTACCAAATTTTCCCTCTTTACATTTGCTTTGAGTTTATGCGCTTCTGATTTAGTTAAAAACTGCATAGGCAAATATAATTCGAAAGCCGATTCAAATTTGCTTCCCGGATGTAAACTTTCATACGCGAGTGCTTTTTTCCGCTCTGTCTGCATATAGATACACAAGTGACTGTTGCATTATACCATGATAAAAACACATACATATTTAGGTACATACATTAAATCGAGAACGCAAATTATTCCAATAATTTTTTGCATCGTTTACGCTGTGGTTGGTAAACATAGCGATGTCCACCCAGATTTTGTGTCGAACTTCCCGATTTTTATACAATACGGAGGAAAAATCCCATATAGCTTCTCTTGATTCTATGAACTCCACAAGCTTCCTCGATTCTTCGGTTGTCCATACTTTTTCTATTCGTCGAGGACGTTCAACCCATTTCTTCATATTTGACCGTCGCATTGCATGTTTTAATCTGGAAAAGTATATACACAATTGAAGAAGGATTTAGCATCGCTGATATAGCGCGAATTATATCCATGTATTAATGTTTATACTCACATATTAGACTTCGCACTCATTTTTGTGTTAAAAAGAAACTCGCGTCCGACAACACGAAGTATCAGAATGACAGCATAATGACAGTATTGTCATTGTTAAATGAACCGGTTTATTCATAGGGTTGTATTTTGACATACTTAAATGGCATACTGACATTTTAGCAGGCGCCCGAATAGTGTGCTTTATTCAACAAACAATTTATGGAGCTATAATTATTATAACAATCCGGGTTTACGTTTTTTTTTGGAGGTGAGCTTCCAAGTTGTTTCAAAAATCATGTTAAATATTGAAAAAATAAATTAACCCCTGATACNTTACAATGTTCGAAATAAAATGATTTTGGTATCATAACATCTTAGTAGTAATACTGAGTGGCACTTAACCGGCTCTATGTTGAATATCGTCATTGTCAGTAAAAGTGACGATACGGTCATCGGCAGCCATTTTACTGATGCGGCGACGATCGTCGACCACGATAATGACGACATTCAGCATAGGGTTGAATGAAGGCACCTGTAGACGAAAGTTTTTGATTTGATGATTGTGTGTTCAAGCTGGAACTTGTTAGACATTAACGCAAACGCAAAAATAATCAGTCGAGTTTTATTTTGTATACAAATTGGCATGTATGTATGTGTATACAAACATATTTTATTAATCATTCTCTCGGTAATATTTTACAAAAATATATTTTACGTATATGTACGTTAAATTGAACTTTCTACCATGTACATATATGTATAAGTACATATGTAAACTATTTGAATGTATTGCTAAATATTTTTTGTAGATATCTGATATCGAATCACTAGTTCCTACCTCAGTCATTGTATTTTATCACCACATTAAATATGTTACTTCGTTTTTGTGTTGTAATAGTCTTCTACCGATACGTCATGCGGGCCTCCATAGTAGTCCAGTACGAAAATGTTTTCTATTTCCAATTCACATAGATAGAAGTTATGTGCTAGTAAAATATAAATAAAACCAAAATTATAATTGTGCATTTTAGAAGTAGAGCAATTTAAATTAAGTGCGATTTTTAATAACTTTTGGTTTGATTTATTATTATACCTTTAAGCCAATTCCTTGCAGCTGGGTGCCGACTTTTGAATGCCTCTATCCAATCGTTGTAGTCAACGTTTTTGCTGTCCAACTGCAATTAAGCGATCAATATGAGTTTCTTATAATGTGTATAAATAAAAGAAGGTTTTTATCTCTCACCCTCTAACCTTCCCGCTAATTATAGTACGTGCACATGTTGGTTCCATTGGGTCTTCGCGTCGTTTTTTACAATTTAAATTTTGTTCATCGGTAAAAAGGAAAGTTACTTTATTATTATTCTGCCAGTCCGGACCGGTAAAATCCAAATCGGTTAATAAAAAATGTATTCGACCAGTTGATTTGCCATTCAATGCGCTATCATCCACTGATATTACATTGACCATCGGGTAGTTGGTGATTTTTTCATTTGTCGATATACTGCCTACTGATGCCCAACTGGCCTGGTGCACTAAGTTGCGAGCAACCAACGCATGATCCGTGCTGCGAAAGTGACGTTTGTATTCGGCAATGATAAGGGCATCCTCATGTGCTGAATAACCGGTACAATATTCAAACGATAATAATGCTAACAGGAGAAGAGATAGGATATTGACATCTGCTCTGGCCATGGTGATTTTTGCTCTTGATTTCAGTTGTGGATTTCGCTCCTGAAAAGCAAATATTTTCAACGAAGATTTGTATTATAGATGGAAACCCGCTGCTTAAGGAATTTATAAATTTTTGTTTATGGACAACCGAACCAATCATATAAATTACTTGTCTGAATCGGGAACGCTACCTTTTATTTGTTTTGACCTATCAATGCAAACTGAACTGCGTAGGTGCTTGCAAAATATATATATATATGTATATTTTATAAGTAAATGTTTCCTTATCTACCGCATAAAGAAATTGTTTGCACTGCATTCATAGCAGGGACTTTTACGTATAAAATGATAACTCAACTTTTGCTTCTTTCGTTTTCGTTCACTAAACCAAAATATTAAAAAAAAAATGCATGCTTGTAGTAAAAAACGTGATAATATAGCTCTTTCAATAACATCTTACAACCATTTACCAATAAGCCTTTCTTAATATATGATCTTTTCTTCTAAAATATAGTACCTAGGATGCGATTTCGAACTACATGAAATGTATTAGTTCTTCACAATACGTGGCTTACAATGAAGCAGGCTGATGCTTTTTTATCATTGTAATGAATTCATACAAAAAAATAAAAAAATTAATAAATAAATATACTATGCATAGTATGTATTTATATATTTATGTCTATGACAAAGGTAACCTTCACGTACTGGCACTGCCCACTCGGAAAGTACTAGACGGTCGATTGCAGTTGCCCCTGTTGCTGACAATTTTACGGTTCCCAATAGAATGATAAACCATTATCGCATGATCACAAAACACGGCGCAATAAAATTGGTAAACAACCCAAAACTATAAATACATAAATATATCCATATTTTTGCATACATTTCTATCAGCACTTTTAAGAAATAGGTACTTTTAATAAAGGCTCACAAATTCTATACATACTCACCTGCTTTTTTGCCTACTATCTTTAAGATTTTTAGTTCACACTTCCTTTGTTCTAATTTCGAGTACTTTTGTTCTTGAATCAATTTCATTTAAATATTGGGCACCGCTTTTCATGTGATCTTTGTTCTTTGTGCGGATTCATAATCAGCTGCTTTTGTGTTGTATTTTGTTCAATTATTTCGCAATAAACAAAACTAGTTCTGCAATTGCTTTGTACATCTTCGCGGACAGAGTTGCATTCCGAGCCTGTTTTCAATGCTTTGGTTACTCAAACGTAACGTAACGTACAGATAGATAATAACATATACGAGAAAGAACCCTTGCTCCTCACATGGAAACTAATGTTTATAGCCCAATATGAGGTATGATAAACCCGTTAATTCCGCAACATTATAAAAAAATACGTTTATTGAGTTGCGTTAGTCTTTTAGAAAATGAGCGATATTTACATACATATATACTTATAGATGTTCATTTGTAAATAAGTGCACTTCTGAAGCTCAAACAGCTTTAAGTGCCATCCATATGTCTGTATTTACTATTTTATATCTTTTGGCTAATTCAAGTGGCATTGGGAAGCGTTAATTATTATTGGCCCTAGTGATAGAACGATACGAGTACCGAGTACAAAATATCGATACTTTTTACGAGTACTGAGGTAATATCGAGAACTCGATACTTGTTGACAAGTACTGTGTAATTATCGAGAATACGAAGAAGAATCGACGTGTGAAAAACTTGTAAAGTAAAATGATTCTTAAAATTTACATGAAAAATTTCGTTCTTTCAATTAAAAAATGTATCTTTTATTATAGTTAATAACGTATTTTTTTAGAAAAACACACATTTATTAAAAATGGCCACAATTTCGTGTTTTTAGTTTTTCTCGAGATATGTACTTATTATATCTATAGATATGCATATCAAATCAACTGTATTTCAATTATCTTTCTAACTATATCCACATTTTGAAAATCGGTTAAAGAATAACTGAAATATAATCTTTTCAAGATATTGAAAATTGCACTGAAAAAATATACACCATTAAAATCAGGAAAAAGGGGCGAGTCAGGCCCACTTTTTATTTATTTTTTTCTAGATCTAGATTCTAGATGATAAACGCTTGCAAGCGTGTCGTATGAAATCAGTTTTCGTGTTATCGTTTTCATAAGCCCGACAAATGCATTGATCTGAATAGCTGTGGTCAGGGCACGGACTTTACCACTTTATTGTTAGATATACCAACTTTTTAGCTATATTCTTCTGGCATTTTCTTTTATCCTGCTCTCCGGCTTAGTTTACTTTTACACCAGAAATGGCATCGCCGCCGGGAATGCGCAATCTTGCATTTTATCATTCTTGCGTAGTTTGCTCTCTCATTCGTAATTCGCACTCCAATCACCTTTCGAATTACGCAGTTTGCCATACAAAATTTTGAGAGCGAATTACGTCATTTGTTGGTAATTCAGATCCAATTACCATTACGAACAAATCCATTCCGTCTCTAATTTTAATCAGAAATTTATCGAAACTAGTTACAAATCAACACTGACACTTTCTGAATAGTTACTAAAAGTAAAGATAATAAGGGCCGGTTACTCAATGTCTGGTTAACACTAATCTTCGGTGAAACATAGTTATCGACGTTAACGACTCCCTGTTGTTTGCATGGAGTCGAAGACTACGATAACGATGTTTAACCGCAGATTAGTGTTAACCAGACATTGAGTAACCGGCCCTAAGTGTGTACAACACCAATTTAATACAGAATTTATAAATTTTTAACAACAGCTTACATTTTGCACCAATTTCGTATAGAAGAAAACAAATACAAAACACAGACGGAGAACTGTCAAATCGAATTAAGAATGTGCCCTCGGATATGTGGGGTAATTCGCGATCGTAAATGAGGAAGCGAACAAAGTAAAGAACAAATTGGGTATTTTTCGTCGGACAAATACAACTAAATGTATTAAAAAAATGTATTTATTCAGTTATGTAACAACAAAACCGTTCATAAATAAAAATTCAATATCATTTGAACAAAACAATGTTACACTGGCGATCAAAACTGAGCGCATGGTGATTTTATTTTAAATATTTACAATAAGAGTATTCACGGAAACGCGTAAATACCTCGTAACTTCGTAAACCTCGTAAATAAACCGATTTTCCATACAAAATTAGGTAAGTTTACGAGGTATACATGGCTTTGAGGAATTAAGACGTTTATATGAAATGCCCTGATGACTTTCAAATTAATTTTTTATAAAAATATTTTTTATGCTTTAGCCAAAACCATAAAATGAATTCAAACTTTCAAACTTAAGATAAACTCTAGAAAAACGCAACAAATTTCCACAAAATTTTTGAACTTTTTAATCTGAATTCTTGAATATGCCGTTACATGGCTCATGAAATTTTAGTAAAATAAGTGCAAGTTCACGCGACTAAAAATCGTAAGGATTTTTGATACTTTTTTGCTGACGGCTTTTTTCATACTAAGACGAATTTGAAGAAAATTTGCAAAAAAAATTAACGGCAGGTTTTTATAAATTGCACTTTCTATATGAAAAAACCGCGGTTTAAAACATGCACTCATTTTACTAAGATTTCATGCGGCATGTAACTGTATATCCAAGAATTCATATTAACAAGTTAAAATTTTGATGGAAATTTGTTGCATTTTTCTAAAATTTGTATTAAGTTAGAAAATTTGATTGATGTACATATGTATGTATTTGGTTTTGTTTAAAGCATGAAAAGTATTTTTATAAAAACTAACAAAAAATTAACTTTAAAAACATTGAAGTTATTTAAAAAATCACCATGCACTCAGTTTTGATCGCCAGTGTATATACATAAAAATATATGTACATACACATATGTGTACATAAATATGGCAAAGAATGTTTTCAAATAAAAATTATACTTTTCGATCAACTTTGATTCCACTAATCGCCTGTGAAAGTTGAAGAATTCAAACACGCTGAAAGCGAAAAGTTAACGATTTCGGGCAAAAATGGGGAACCTACGCAGTCTTCCGTAGTAAGGGGTGATAAAAAGTCTAAATTCGATATATGAAATGAAACACAAAAACAAAAAAATTCTGAACAGAAACTCCCTGGGAGTTTTCTCTCTTTTCCCTTTCCTCCTATCATGAATAAAAATTGCCTGACGATTTTTTATATTAAAGGGCGGAGTTGAGCTGTCAAAAAAGTGTAGAAACAGCTTTTTTGAGATTCAAATTTCCTCCTCCCAAATTTTCGAGAAAATGCTACTCCCTGCGAGTTAATTATTGGAGGATTTCTTTCTCGGGAGAAACAAATTCCCGGAGAACAAACTTCCCGGGAGTATATAGAATTGGGCTGATGATCTTTGGTCACCAATTGTTGTTTCTTTCACTGCACAATGAAAAATTTGAGAGAGAGAACTGAACTGCATGATCAGCAGTGCTGCCAACTATTTTTGAGTAGAAAAATCCAGTTTTTTATAAAAACCCGCTAGAGAAAGCAATAACAATTGGTGACAAAAAATCATATGATCGTCTGCGTAACAGCGCCCTTATAGTCTTCCCTATGGCGTCAATCAGCCAGGCAGATGCACCTTCCCCATTAAGGGATCGGACATTCCGCTCAATCACATCCCAATAATATAAAAACAACAAAAATTTCGCAGTTAGCTTGGTCAGCATATACTAATTCGGATCAGCACTTAAAATTCCTCTTCAATGTCTTACAAAAAATATCTAACTTACTTACATATTTATGTACGTAGTACATAAAAAAATATTAAGTAGCTACTAGTAGACAACTCGTTGCCAAGTGCATGATAAATTAAATTTTCACTCGTGTTTACATTTGGATTCTAAAACAAATATAGACCGTCTAAGGTATTATTTTCAAGAACAAAACTTGAGTGTCTATCTGCAGTCTGATCCAATTATTTTCGTGCCTCCATAAATGTAGATTTTATTTCAATGCTAATTTTGTTATTAGCGCCCATAATCGTGGTTATAGGTTTTCACAAAGTGCCATTGGTAAAAATTTTTCACCAGACTATCAATTCGGTAATACCGCCAAAAGATAGAGCATACCCGACTTGGTAATTCATATTTTTGCGTTTTTCAATAAACACATTTTACTTCATTTTAGAAGATGGGTGGTCTAGGTATACATATGTATGTATACACGAGGACTTTTTCCGGTCACGGTCATCATATATCCTCGCACAACGCAACTGGTGTAGATTGAAGTATAAGTACTTTTACGAGTAACTATATTTATGCACAGTTGCGAAAGTGTTCTATTTTTTAATCTACGTGCTTAGGATAACATTGTGGTAGTTTTGTGGAAGAACGTTATAACTAAAAAATAAAAAAAAATGCGAAAAAAGGCTTCCAACGCTTTAGTTAAATTTTTCGCATTTTGCATCAAACAAAAATAAATAACAACGACAACAAAACAATAAGTATAATTTCAATATTTAATTCACTTCAAACACTAACATAAGTATAGTGTAAGCGACCATCAATTATTATTATAATAAAGCCATCGTCTAGCTATACTTTGGTTACTTGCTTTGATAAAAGAGTGACTGTTTATTAACCATCTTCCAAAAAAGGAGGAGGTTATCAGTTCGTCGGAATATTTTTTTATTTATTTTTTTTATTTTTTATTTTTATTTTATTTTTTTTTATGTATGTTACCGCATAACTTTGGACCACGTCAACCACGCTCTTTTTGCATCGGAAAGGTAGTGTCTCAGAGGTGGTCCCATACTAATCTGGTTAAGATCCGATCAGTGGATCATGAGATATATATATATATATATTTTTTTTTTTTATATGAGAGTTGAAGTCGGTTTTTTTTCTAAAAATTACTTGTTTTGTTATAATTGCTACGCCAAGTGCTACCGAATGTTCTGGCAAGGAAGACAAATTTGTTCTTACGAGCACAGAACCTAATTGTTAAAAATGTTCGCCTTTTATTTTCCATCATTCGTACCTCATTTCATTCAATATTCATGGATTCATACAGCTTATACATACAATACATACATATGCATATGAGGCATTATTCGTCAACAGAAGTAAAAAAAATTGGGTTCAGGTAAAAAAATCCATTATATTCATAAAAGTTCGGAATGTTTAAGTGATGAGTTACGTTTTTTGAAATC